GACCATCTTGAAAGGAATGTCAAAAAGCTGTAAGCATTTATCTCTAGACAAGACAATATTAGTGATACTAAATCCGGCATTCATATCAATAAAGAATTGTCTACGATATCAAAGGCCTGATATGATGTCTGATTCGTTGCGCATCACTGCAAACATCCTACAGGCGGTTAATACAAATTGAACTATGTGATAAGTGGCTGCTGTTTCAAGACCTTGATTATCTATCACAAGCTTCCATCACAGATACCCAAAGAAGAACTTATTTTGTTGATTGTAAGACATGGTGATCTCGAGTAAAATAATACATATACGGATTACATTCTAACTACAAGTGAACTATCTCACTAGCATGCAGCCGTTTCAATACAAAGGAAGGTTGGCGGATGACACGAGTGCAATTGGTTACAACCCATCAAGTAACCGAGTTTGTTCTTTATTTGCTATTACTGTATATCAAATTTGCATTATATGTTCTATCTTGAACAAAAGAACGCGTGTTATCATCTAATGAGAGAAATGAACGCTAAAATTCATCATGTTTGTACAAAATCGTATCACCTTTCTAATATAGAATGCAATGCACCATCCTTGGTAAGGTAGAATACCATAATAAAATTTAATGAATGTACTAAATCCTTGTTTGTGGTTTTTTTGCGTTTAAGTTGTTATTCGTTCCAATCAGTCTTACCGCGATTGCTAGAAGGCCCACTTTGCTGGTATTCGGGGTCATCTTCGGGACCATCCTCGAGATCATATTGCCCGAAAAAACGGAGCATCTCTAAATCCTTAGGTGAAATGGACCCTTTAATTCATCATACAAAGCTTCTATTCGTTCTGTTATCTCATTCCACATATCAGGTTCAGGATTAGGATTAGGCGAAGATGATGTGTGTACAGCCATTGCTGATGAACCTGAACCGTAATCAGTTAAGTGGCTTCTACGGAGAGAATCTGTGTTGAATGCTTGTGTCGTGCATTCCAATTCCTTTTCATTTTGACTATGAGTGTCTTCACACGCACAGCTGGCTCTGTTCGCATCTACTGGCTGTTTTGATTCTTCAGCACTTACTTTGGTTTCCAAGTTGTCTAATGTGTTCGCAACAGTAGTAATATTATCGGATAACTTGTCTCCTCCCTCTTGCATGCTCTTTTGCGCAATATATATTTTCTTTATCCCGTCAGATAACTCCGATTCACATTTTTCACTCTCCTTGTCTGATACAGGCACTTCATGTGGATCAAAACCTTCACTGTATGTCTCATGAAGATCATTACTAGGCCTATTTCTAGAAGAATCTTTTGTATTACGCTCACCATGCACTGCTGCACAATGCCTTAATGATTCATCTTGTGAATGTTCTTCAACGCACAAATGCGATGAAGCAACTAGCAGCACACCATAAAAAATGGTAAAATATAAAAACATACCCAACAGATTTCTTGTGCTTTTATATTACAAGTCATGCCTTTTTCGTAATAAAAATTTCTCATCTTTCCCGATTTGAACTAATCCTCTCATCGCGCCCGCAACACACTGTTAAAGAATGGTAAAAACAAAGAACATACCGAAATAAATAGAACTTACTCCAATCATAGCACGGTTTATTGAACAACATCGTGATTGATGGCAAATATGGACCGTCATATCTACTGTTGCTAGTGTTATATGCTATTTTGGATTAACTGTGTTCGTTTTAGTGAGATAAACAAGGAATGACTGAATAAAATGCATTTTTGAAATTAATCAGAGCATATCCCTGGGGTAAATAGTTAATAACAGCATTAAAAATCTTTGCATACTAAACATTCTTACAGTATATGAAATTTGAACAATATATCTGGCTCACAAGCAAATTATAGATCGTGTATACCGTCTTATCAGCGCTACAGTGTCATAACTTAGATATGTGAGCTAAGATTATGCTACCAGAAAGGGTTTCGTTGAGGTTTAGTAGTAAACGGCTGCAACACGTGTATAATTTTTCGATCATCAAAAGCAATACATAGTCGTCATTTTCGTTATATCAGTTTAGAATGCCATACAAATTATCTATCAACCATAAACACTAATTTAGATTTTTTGTTTTACGAACTGGTTTGGCATGATCTATCTTGCTGGAACCTATCAGGCTCGAAGAGCCAACTTCTGCTACAGCCTTGAAAGTTGCTTTTTTGATGATATTTTTGTTCATAACATTAGGATGTATCTGCAGCCAATGATATTCTGGTGATCTTATCATATTCCATGTTACAATGTGTATGTCTCATATTCTATGGAAGTCAGCGCCATTTCCAGACAATACTCCTCATCTTTGCTTGTGCAAACTTTTTTGACATTATTATAAGTTCATACACCAAGAAGAACCGACTCGACCTTGATCTCCTACGAACAGATTGATCAATCAACATCTCAATGCTGCATTCGTCTATTTAAAACGATTTATCTTCCAATGTTGTATTGTTAAGTGAGATCATGGTGTAATGATGTGTTATGCATGGCCTTCGCGACAAAGGATCCTATACAGAATGGACGTAGAACTTGGTTCAGCAATTAGCGTTGTTTT